TAATCGCTATCATCAAGATCAAAATTGAAAATACCGCCAGTATCGAGGATAGAAATCCATGTGCCAATAGTGGCGGATCAACTCGGTCCAATTAACAACAGAGACTTACAAGCTATAATAATTAATTATCCTATTGTTTTTAACTGAAATAATTTATTTATTATCTACAAAATGCGATATCTACTATCTCAGGCTTCACAGAATGAATCTAACCAAACCGGTAGATAAGTCTATGTTTATCGTGTTCACAGGGATTACTTTCTATCTATTTTCATATATGAAACGAGGTGATCAACAGTTAATCTCAAATTCGGTTGTCTGTCGTTTGAAAACACCATGATTTATACTACAAACGAATCAGAAGTGATAAATGTTTTTTCCTTGGAACTAGTGGTAAACTATTTAATATAAGGTAGCATTCATCATGAACTGATATCGGTTGGAGAACCATTGGAAACCTGGGAGCAATGGACAACCGTTTCGTCCCAGTATGGGATTCCCTCGGCATTACGCACCTACGACCTGGCGAATGTGTTAACCATTCAGTCAGTGGATCGGAGTCCAATCGTACACAGTTTTCCACTCCTATCAATTTGCGATACAGCGCGACTATCAACCAAGGTCCTTAGTTTGCATCTGCTTCGCTTCCGACTGGTTGACCCCATAGGTCACGCATGGCTTTTCATTAGAACTTCGGGACATTCATTTGGAGGCATGTCACTAATAAACACTATACAGTAATGTACTGTTGAGTCCTACACTAGGACGAAATGGCTTTATAGTGCTCCCAGGTTTTTAATAGTTTTCCAACTGATGTCAGCCCATGATGAGTGCCACCTTACACATAAAATCGCCACCAACCTCAAAATACATTATTTAATATAAATTCAATTTCAGTTAGAAACTTTACAACGAAAGTACCAATTGGTTGAGCCATACGCAGAAACTCGATTAGATCTTCGTTTGGTACCGGTAGTTTATAAATGGGCTAAAGGTTTGTCATTTTATGCCACAACATGGAAGTGCGATATACCAGAAGGTGCAGTAATTAAGGGTCTGCTCCAATTGGATGAATTAATTCGTCATATTTGTGGCGTATGTCGTCTCTTTGGAAATCATGATTTACACCTGAGAATGTGCGAAGCCAGAGGTTTGATATGTCGTGACATTGTGTCTTCACCAAGTTTATACATTACAGCAAACGCAGAAAATAATTGATTAACATTGTTTTTCCAGTTGTCGATGATTTTCACTCATCTATTGACAGATACTTTACAAGTTTTTAATCACCTAAACTTTTATATTTAATCAAATATTGTCGATTTATTTTGTTCTACGATAAACAAAAATTTTATCAGTAAATTCTGAGATTTTTATCGAATCGATTTTTTACGGGCTATTGTAACAACAAACAAGTAAGAGGAACTAATTAACAAACTATCAGTGACAATGGTTTATGTTTTGAAGAAGTCGACAAATTGGATGAAAAGCCTCATGAGCAAATGATATCAAGTGAATATCGGTTACAAATCAACCATCCGACCGATAACTGCTACCTTGACGCGATGGTTGGACTTAACGAACTTTCCTGGTGAGACACTCGTTCATTGAGATCTGTTGCATAGTCACCGACATAAGGCGAATAGCGTGTTAATGTGGGGGTTTAAGAATGAAGTCACACTGTTAACTGAACGAAGTGACAGTGGTAACGTGTTTCATTTGAATGCCCAGCTGACGCCTTCGCTGTGAAGAGAGCAGGGAGGGTGGGCTTAGAAAAGGTAAGTCCCCAAACTCCCACATTATGCAGTCTTCTGGATTCGGTACTATGCCTTTTATAGCTGGATTCACGAAAGCCAAAGTTATATCTCGAAATTTCCAAAAGGCCATATGTTACTGGCATCAAGCGGACATCTTTTGGCTCTGTGATCACACGGAAATTACCAATCTAGTTCCCAATAAGGTAACTCGGCAAATAAATTTTTATTGCGTGGGCAGCCGGAGAGCGTCGGCCACCACGTAGCTGTCAGCATTAAGGTTGCTATCAACTCTCATCATCTTTCCCCACATCTATCGGTCAATATTCCTCTAGAAACTTTACTTTCTTCAGTTCTGAATACATGAGATAGCATCCCTGGTCTCCTGAAATTGCGCTTCAAGACAAATATCGGGTGATTCATTGTCTGCATCATTCGCTAATTCAAGCCACAAGCTTTGCTAGCCGAAACTTGGGCCATTGACGCATACTTCGTTAGTGTGACATGCTTACGGAATTCAAGTGTAGTTATTCAGTTAACCTCAACCGAGCAGTTCAGTAAATCTTTGAAATCCAATTTTCGAGTTACTGTTGATTTGGTGGCTAGATCTCATTTATTGGTGGAGGATTGGTGGTCTTTTTGAAGTGTTTAGACAGTGATCAAGAATTGGTTCGAGCATATTCGACGTAGAAAACGCCCGTTCCAAGAGCAGCTTAATAATGAGGATAATGAGGCATTTTTCTACAAAGAACTGGCTAGACAGTTATCGAGTCAGGGACTATTGGCTCCATATTCAGTCTGCTGTAAATCAGCGTTGAAGACCGTAACTGACTCTCGTAAAAGGTCGGCGTATCCCAGCAGCTGTTTGAAATAATGGATGCCCTTGGGTACATTCTCGAAAACTCCGGACGCAATGAAAAGTGGAACCAACTTAATTATAGGCTGATACGAAGTCTGTGTGACCTGTGTGGTGGACAGAGAAGTTAAAAGCGATGAAAAAGGCAGGGACGATGGGTAACGGTTATTACCTACTTACCAAGGAAACTGGTGCATAAACGTCAGTGGTTAGTGAGACTGTAGCGGAGAAGGATGGGCTTGTGATTCGCCTGCAGGGAATACGGCTGGGACAATGGGCAGAATACTTCGAAAAACAGTTGAACTGACTTCTGGCTACTATGCCGTTATCCACTACCCTGTTGGGTTTGAATAAAACATTGACATAGGGCCTCCAACTCTGCCCAAAGTTGAGAAGGTTGTGAGTAACCCTGTATGAGGAAGAGCAGCAGCATTTTTAAGCACGTCAGCTACTTCAGATAGAAACAATCTTGTGTCAGCGACCAACGAAATCTCTGCGTGGATTCCAAAGGTTTGATTGGCTTTCACCACTTTACGACACCCACTGCGATCTACTTCACTCTGCTTTATTTTATGGTTGTAAAGCGCACCCATTAAAGGTGGTTGACATGAGTAGGCTTCGGGTGTTCGACCCCCTTCGTACCACAGATCGTCTATCATGATGCGACAACGCCAGTAATGAAGGATTCAGACGTTGAGGTTAGGTAGAGAAGGAAAGTTAGTTAGAGAGCTTATGAGCATTCTTCTAATCTGATGATCGGGACGTATTTATTGCATGTACCTGGTCACCGTCTGTTAGCTGATATAGGTCCAGGTTGAAATGAGGTCAGATGCAATGAAACTAAAACATGGAGTCACCCCACGAATGCTTTCACTATTGGTCTGAGCCGAGTAGGTTTGGATTGGTGTGACAATCGAAACAGGTATATCCTATGATTGAAGATTCTTTCTTATGATATGTGTAGAAATGCCAGTCGATGAGGTTATGAACTTGCACTGACTGGGACGCTTACTGAAGTCCCACCTAACGTAACGTGCGTTATCTGATGGAGGAAGGTCAAGCGTTAATAGCAATCTATGAAACCATTTGGAAATGTAGTTTGGAGTGATAAAGTTGTTTAAATCAGTAGCTAGAGGCAACTGGTGTTCAGACTGAAAACCGATCACAAGGCATGGGTAAACTCACGCCTTTCTCTGTCGAATTCTTTGGTATGTCATCACTCTGTACTCACCACTATTCCCTCTTATATGATCTATTAGCTTCCCATTTCTGTTGACCCCTTTCTATTTATGTGTTTCCAAAGTTTCCTGAAAGAATAAGTTATTAATAACAATTAGAATGTTTGCCTACACGATATGAGCACAGGAAACAAGCATATACTTTTTAAATTTTACCACAGAATTTTATGTAGTCCAAACAATAAAGATAATTATAAGAATTATCAATGTATCGACCTGCAGGTATAAGAATAAATAGGTTCAAAGCATCTAATATGATACTTCTTAGCAATTAGGCTGTAGCGAATTCAATTGACAAGAGTGGTTTCCATTTAAAAATAATAGCAAAACCATTTCTAAACAATGAAGATAAAAAAAAACCTAATTCAGTAGCTATTAAGAAATAGTTTCCAGTGAAAACTTAGTTTTTGCAAAGAATTCATTGTTTTCCCCAAGACTTTCTACAAAGTGCAAAGTAGATATTTTATCTGTATAAAATGTGAAGTACTTGTAAGCTTGATCATAGCATAGATTGGACTACATTTGTTGCTGATGACGGCGGTGGTCCAGTTATATAAAATAAACGTGTTAAAGTACTCACAGTACTAGTCATTTGTTTCATATTGTCCGATTCTATCTGACCTGTATTTGAGCGATATTGATAAGCGACAACTCGTGCAACTACTGCAAGTAGCGTCATTATATCTGTATGGTTAACTCTCTTCATATCTGACTCAAGAACACTACACAATTCTTGAATGAACCAACTGCCCGTCGATGAATTACGCCATGCAAAGAAGCCTTTAAAGAAAAAGTACAGTAAGACATGGAAAATACAAGATTTATTCACTCAATTAGTAAGTGATGCGGTAAACAAACTAATTAGCTTTGTAAAGAGAATTTAAAAGCATTCTTCGAAACTAACAACGATAAGATTACTAGATGAACATCTTGTGCCAAACCATCTTAGGTCTCGATGAAAGCGAACCTGATAACAAATAATCAAGAACAGTGGTAGCAACCTAGAAATTCAGCGTAATTTGTCACTAAAAACTATCCTTTGAATTCTTTTTTCTTACTTGATGGACTTTATGTCATACAGTTTAATGAACTTCACAAATTCCAAAGAAGCTGATTCCACAGTAGTGAAGCTAAATTCTGGAGAGAAAGCCTTAGCAAGAGTATACTGGAGGTGGAAGCACTTCGAAATATCAGTGTAGTCAGAGTTAAGAACGCACAAAATATATATATCAAGCAAAATCCAAAGTATTAGCAATGGATTACATTCCCAAAATAAGCAGTATCATATGCTTTATTCGACTTTTCATTCCGGTCACCGCCTACAATTCATATGAAAATACACTAGCCTGCAGCATTCCAGGATAGAGATATCCAAATATTTTTGAGATATCTCGAGGGAGTTCAAGAATTGGTGGGGATGTAGAAGCTGGCAGCGTTGGGGGCTCATTCGAGAGTGGAAGAAGGCACAGTTTAGGCTAAGACGATAGATGACGGTATTGCTAAAGAATTTGAAGGAAATAAAAGCATACAGTGATAACTTCCTGGTTCGTAGTTTATCAAAATAACATACAGGTTTTAAGCATCTGGTCTATTCTTCTCGATTAGGCTTTGTATGGCTATTGACCTTAGGGTCTCGGACACGATGTTAGTCGGACTGATTCGCTTGTGTTGGTCAAAGGAAGATTTCTCTCCTTTATTAACTGGGGGGATCAGCGATTTAAGCCAGACTGATGGGACTACGCCCAGTTCCAGTACACTAGCTAGTAGGTCGGTCTAGGTCTATCCTTGAAAACAAGTGTCGATGAATAGTCAGGTCCTGCTAATTCGCATTGTTTTAGGTTTGAAACAGCCTTCTTAACTTCGAGGTGAATTAAAGGGTATACATGGGATACTACAGACAATCCCAAGATGTCTTTTTGATTATTTAAGCTTTTCTACTTGGATGGTGAAATGTTCTGTCAGTGTGAATATATTTGAACGGTTTACTTTTTGTAACGAAATCGGCAACTTTCGGGGAAACTCTTTTATTATCGCATAGACTATAATTCGTAGGCGTACTGCGGGAGACTATGAACAGTCGTCAACATGTATCACGGCTCCCTCCAGTTCTTACAAATCCGTTTGTTTGAGCAGTGTATAAACGACCGTTGACTGGTGTTCAGGCGAGAAGTGCGCTTCCTGCTCTACAGTTTGATGGAATATCTACACCAGCGATTCCACAGGAACTATCTACTGAACCTAGAACACTCACAAAGTGACTTAGTCAGACTCATCACGTTGACCGAATGAGGTGAAGTGAAGTGAATAGCCTAACTGGAGTCCCAAACGCATGTACGAGAAGCCGGTGATATTGAGGACCAAAGTGAGAAAGACTGGGAGAAGGTAGCATTTACAACTCCACTGTATAAACTTCTAGAAAAACTGAAATTCGTGTGAGGCATAAAAGACATTTAACTGCACATAGCCATCAGTCGACTGCAGTCGATTCCTGTTATGGCAGTCGGTGACCTGCAGTCGTCAGTAGACGTAACGGAATCCAGGGGTGACCAGTATCTGCTGTTGGTGACACAACACGCGGCTCGGTGGGTGGACACCGCTGCAATCCGCCAACCAGCGTGCAAAGACAGTGACAGAGGCTGTTATTCGCCAGACTTGAAAACTGCAGCGTATTGAAGATGATATCAAAGAGGCTACATCTCGCTTGTGACAGCTAGGGTTTCAAGCGAATAAGAAAGACTCCTTACTACCCACAAAATAATGGGTTGATCGGAATAAATGACCGTATCCTGAAGGATTGTTGTCTTTGAAAGGAGGTAACTGGGAAGCAGGACTGGCACTAATCTTATTCGCACATTGGGCTTCCGTGCAGAGGACAGCGAAGAAATTGTTGTTTGCACTAATGTATGGCAGGAAATCCAGACTGTCAGTGCAGAGAAAGATCTGACCACGGCCAACACTTTTGAGTCTTATACGATGGAGAACAGGTTGAGGGGAAAGTTTTGAGAATGTCAAGGAAAAATGGAAGTAGATTCTGTGAAATTCGAACAGAAACCAAGGACGTAATGCAAAACTTTTGAGGCATGCGATTATGTGAATTGGTGGTGGTGGCATAATAATGCAACGCAGGCTTTTATTTTGTAAGCGGAAGATGTGACCCAGTTCATAGGATTAGCAGAGACAATAACGGAAAACGTATGAACGTCAGTCAGTTTCAAAAGTGGATGCCACTGCGGAAAGAAGCGAAACCGGGAACTATGCAGAAGTAGACACCTATAAAGTGATTATCAAGGTGAAGAAATAAATCTTTTAGAGCAGGGACGAATGTAGTGAGAAGTGCTTGTCAGAAGGCTTACAAGCAGTATGAATAGGTGTGTCGAAAGTGTTAACGACCGACTGGTGAAGAATGAGACAGAAAGAATACGCAATGTTGGATAGAAAGAAAGGCAAGAACAGTGCGGAATGACTTGCAGAGGCAGAGATTGTTTGCAACTGGATACCATGTTGTAAGGTTTAGTATGTCTACCAATATTAGTTGTAATTTGTCAGTAAACAATATCAGCTGCTTTATTGGATTTTACTTCAACCCAATGATTTGTTTTCAGTTAAATCATAAAAGTTGATTATGGTAGTGAATACCAGTCAGAGTTTGATGGAAGTTGGATTTTTGTCAGTGAGTTGCGCAACATGTTGAAATATTTAAAGAAAGAATTGTCATAAAAAGACATGAACGAGTGAATGTTCTTATCACGTAAAAGTTAGCCGAATAAAAGGAGAAAACGAATAGGTGGTTTGAAATATGAAAAATTAAGACCATGAAAGAAAAAGAGTTTGAGGGAATTTCTTCTCCTCATCGGTGTATTCCAGCGGTTGGTAAGTGACAGTGTTGTGTCTCGTACGCCACAGATGGGACAGCGTTTACATACGGGCTGTCAGGTCTAGTGGAATAGAAGCAGCAGCTGCACCTAGAAATAGTTGGGACTTGTTTCACTCATGTTTGCCACCGGCAACAAGGCATTTTCTTGTGAGATGGTCTGTGAAGTAGGTGGTACGCCGATCTACAACATTATCCGCTACCTAACACTAGGTGGAGGACTTCGAAAAGTATTTAAGCTGACCTACTTCTCCAACAACACCTATCCCATTGTCTTTTGCTCTATAGTAAATTAGCACCGACCTACGAAGATAAGGTCTGTACAAAACTTTAATTTCCAAAGGGTTGTGATATCCCCACCCTGGATAACTCATTTTTTTCTTTTTCAGCATAGAAATGAGACTGTAGTCGGAAGACCGACTACATTATTTAAAATGGTGTGCCTATCTATGTACCATCATTCTGGAATGAAGCTACCGTTGTACTGAAGAACAAGAATAGTGCGGAATGTCTTGCAGAGGTAGAGATTGTTTGCAACTGGATATCATGTTGTAAGGTTTAGTATTCTTACCAATATTAGTTGTATTTTGTCGACAAGCAATATCTGTTTATCTATTAGACGTCTTTTTAGTTCACGGATTATGATAAGGTACTTTCCCACGACCGCTGCAAATAACGGGCTGTTGCTTCGTCATTGTCAATGTTAAGGGCACAACTGGCAACTAAATTACCAATAATCTACTTAGATGGCTTCTTTCTTAGTTGGAAAGAGTTTCTGTCAAATCACTTGTAAAGGCTTCAAGTGTTCGGGTCAAAAGTCCGAGATGAAGTTTTCACTGCCTGTAACTCGAAGCGGTTGGCTACTCACATACATGAACTTTACTTCAAATAGCTATAGACTACCTACAGTCTCTCTGTATCATCTAGTTTTGATGGTTCATTTTCACAGTCTTATGAAAGAAAGTCAATATCATAACCATCCTAACAATTAGGCAACATAAACTGAACCTCATAGGTCTGTATAGAAACTTCTTCAGTGACAAGAACATCAAAGTTAACGTTACTGCCTGAGCGAATCAAAATACTAACACATTAACTTGCCTTTTTGTAACCAAAACAAATGTGGATACACATGAGCACTAAATCACCATTTTTCACACAGCATGTTCAAAATAAATATCAAAGATCTTCAGATTACAAATAACCTTTTCACTTCTCGTAAAACAACATATATGTGATTGTAAAACTAAGTTGCGATACTTTAAAATTGATACTAATAAACACGGTTACGTTTAAGTTCGCTATTCTGGTTTCGTCCAGCCTTGTTTGTTTGTGTCCTCTAATGTGAATAAGCATGGTTGGTTGATTCAGAGTAGTGTAACGCAAATAGAGCAGTACTTTTTTGACCTAGGCGTTTGATTAGCAGCTGCTGGATCAAATTTATTCCACCTACTTCGACAGTTAGGCAGTTCGACTAATTCAAGAGTTACATATAATGTCTATGGCATAAAACCAGATGAAACCAAGCAAAAAATCACTATTCTTTAAGTTCAATACAAGCATTTTAAAGCATGTAAATATGTAATAAAATTAAATAGACAAGGTGTAAACGACCAGAAAATAATTTCAAAAAGAATACCTACCTGGGACTGTGGAGTATGCAACTAATATATCTGCCTCTATGGGTAACTTGTGTACAATTAGATCTCCACTAGCATCTGTTACCATAGTAGAAACCCCTTTATCGAAACTGGCACCTCGACAAGCCTTTAATAAAAATAGGAATAGTAATTCAGTCATCTTCATATCTAAGACGTAATTACTATAGATACAAAAGTATAACTTCTTGAAAATGAATTGCATTCAGTCCGAGGTTATTTGGAGTGACTTTAAAGGCCACCCTAGCTGGAAAGGCAGATTTTCATAAAATAGAGAAGTCTAATTGGTCACTTCGATCGTTGCCAGGGTGGCTATTTGAGCTCTTAAATAAACTGGAGCCGAAACTTCGAACAAAAATGATTTCACTAAAAGTATCTTTACGCATCCAAATGAACTTAACTGAACGAATTACAGGAAACGAATTTGGTTAATAGAAGGCATTGAAGACCAAAAATAAAACATTTATTGTTTTAAACAGAGATATAAATAATATATCCTAATGCTTACATATTCTGCATCATTTTTAATTCTTAAAAAGGATCAAAATGAAAGTATAGCATCAATCTCTAAAAAATAAGTTGAACGTGTTGGGAAGTGCAATTCGAGAAAAGCAAAGGAAACACTCAAAAAGTGAATATGAAAATGATTAGACATATTAAGGATATGAAGTGTCCAACATTAGTTACAGAGTTAGAAGATACACTTGCTGAATATGAAGTGGTACAACTTACTCATCTACTAAATCACTAGTTGATTTCGAGTTCATGAATCACTGATTAAATATTGGCTGTATATTTATTATCAAATTCAAAACTGACACTTTCATCTTTGAGAGACTTCACATAAACCAAGTCACCTTGATCAGAAATGTGAAAACTGTAGAAACATGAAAAATATAGTTTCAATATCGTGATAGTAAGATCAGCTGTTAATTCACAGATTAAGAATGTTATTTTGTTTTTCATCTAATTTCATCGCAAAAATTACTGGAAGATGGTTGTAGACTACTCAAACCTCACTTGTAATAACAGATGGATTTTTTTAAACACAGCTTTCGGTTCAGGTATTGCATTTCAAATAGATGATTAAATTAATATTGAATAAACCAAACTACATTCGTTTATTTCTGACAAAAGCAATAACAATTAATCATTATACTTCATTACCATATGCACCTAAATGCACTTCAGAAATTCAAGCTCATAATTACTAATCACCTGATGCTTTGTTCTAATTGTTCATAAGTCCTCTTTTTTATTGCATAAAAATACCCAGTGGATAATTCTATGTGCTCATTAAGACTAGACAATAAGCGTGATATAAAACGTTACTTGAAAAGATAGTATAATAGTTGCGTAATTTAACTGAAGTGCGTATCATTATAACACTGATGAATATACGGACAATTTTGGTGAGGATTTAAGCTCAGCGTAATTTTATAATTAGTGTTTAAATTGACAAATGAATCAATAATAAACTATCCTTCAGACACTTAGCCAAAGAATATAGGATTATGTAAACAGTAAGAATGTCATAAGAATCCACGGACTGGATAAGTTACAAGACATGCGAGATAGAACGTTGGCATAGTCAATGAAACCACCGGTTGAACTGATGTGGCTTCAAATTGACGAATAATACTTCTAGATTTCGGACTGTGCCAGTTATGAAGTGGCAAAAAAAATTTTGAGGGATGTTAGATGATAAAGGTAATTATTTTGTACATAGACTTTGACGGCATCTGTGAACCAATGAATAACAGCTTATTGAAGGAAATTAGTCTATAGGACTTGGGCTCAAAATACAACCGAAAAATAACAGTAGTAAGAAATGTAAAGAAAATACACTGGCGGAAAGAAAGTCTTACTATTAAGTAATCATTACCGAATCAGACAGAAATTAAGAAAGCGATACAGCACATCCACATCAATCGTCTAGGTTCTACTTGACGATATCCATCTAGACAGAAATCCAGTTAGAGAAAGATATCCTGCGTTGATATTTTTGGAAGTGGTTAAATTTTCCACATTTATACAACTGTCTACAATATTTCCACAACTATATATTTCTACTGGATATGGAAAGATCAGGAAGGGGGAGTAATAGATTTAACCACAAAATGCGCTCGAAGAGAGCATGGAAGGAATATCAAGATAATACTGGATTCCTGATGTCAAATAAAAGTTGGAAAAATTAAACTGATATCCAAAGCTGGTGGCTATGGTAAAAATAAGGCTGAAACAAATGTCTACTGTGTCGATGATTTCAACTTTTTCATGCACTGACAAGCCGCTTAATTGCGAAGTGGGAGACGTGCTATCTTAGTAAGAAATTGAAAACAACTAATCTAATGAAATTTTATTAACTAGAAGTGATCTATCAACAAGAAAGAAGATCGTTTTGAAAACTAGACAAATTCAAACTAGGTGTAATAAACCAATACTAATTCCCATGACAATGCAGCACTAGCCACCTTCTGGAGATGATGATGATAAAGATAATGATATCAACAACACCAGTTAAAATAATCCTTAGTCTACACACCAACTTTCTTTGCAAAAACATATTTCCATTATCCTACAATCTTATTTCCTGGAAAATCAAAAGAGAATCCACCGGTTTCATGTTTCAAGATGTATCTCATGAGGGTGTAGTAAGAAGTCTTTTGATGTTTATTCATTCAAGTTGGTAGTGAAGAGGAATGATGATAGGTAGAATTAAACAACTACGATACTAAATGACCACTTAGTCGAGATTAGAAATATTGACAGCTGGACACCAATTAAGGGGATTTGCATTCCTAAGTTTTGTCCAGTATGTAGTTCAAGAAGTACACTATTGATGAGTTCAGAAATATGACGAAATAGATGTTTTTTTTATTTTTAAATGACTCACCGGATTATGTTGATTTTTACATCTAGCATTGTTAAATCACCCAGCGACTAAAAAAAACAACTACTAAGACGAACGCTGTATGTTTTCTAACAAACTTTCGTGAAAACAGACAGTATGCTTAACAAATTTTTTCCTGTGATACACGATTTTACTTCATCATCTTCTGAAGGTTCATACAATAGCGAATGTAAGTCGATAGGAAAAAGAATAATCTCTAGTATTTCATGAGGTTTAAATTAACATCTTAAATCTGTGAAAGCATCTAATATGCATAGCTATAATCCTGACTAGAATTAGTGCACAAATTATTTCTTGTAACCATAGAATTTGTTACGATTAAGAGTAATAGTTTGTGTTCGAAACGTTATCCAGCAAATAAAACAACATTACTGAGTACGATATCAAAATACCAAATCTAGTATGAAATTTCATTCTACCACAATTTCCACGGTTTAATCTAATATGGAAGTATAATCCTGATTTATTTGTTCAATTTATGGTACCAACATGGGTGAAATTTTAGAAAACAATATTTGCAAAGCTATTCACTGAGTTTTCAATATAGTTTCCTGCTATTTCCAGTAATTTGCTGTTTGAACTCTCCATTTGCAAACATTTTACTTTGTAAACTTGAATAATACACACTGGTACGGTTTCATTTATACCAAATAAAATAATAAATTGTATCCGTTGCTTAGTTATCAGTATAAGTCTATGTCATTTAAGGTCTTTATGCAGCCTAGCAACATATATCAGTATTCAGTTAAAGAAAAGGTTGTTACTACATAAAAACGAAATCATGTAAGCTTTCAGTGAGATTGCCCAAGTTACTCTTCTATTGCACAGTACAGTGAACAAATTCCACACAGTAAAAACATAATGGATGCATTTACATATTAACGTAAGAAATTCCATCTCTAAGGTTATCGCAAACGACCACATGAAGTCCTAGTCAGAAACTCATTCATCAGTACGGAAAGGATAAGCTGGAGCATTGGGCCATATCAGTGTGTGTACATCAACTTACTTGATCCTGTAGAGCCGACTACATCAGCAGTAACATGCTTCAGCTTATGTAAGGCGCAAGCGAACACTACCCAACCTGGCTGACAATTTTAGAACAGAAACGCATATTCAGCTCTGCAACAGAACACCTAGTAAACCAGAACATTTGGCTACTTTTGATAAGTCCCTCAAATTCTGCAAAACGTGCGACCAAGGTTACTCGAAAAGAGTGAGGTATGGGCACAGCTGAAGCATAAGCGATTCAAAAGTTCAAACCATCACTAGGTGTTCAAAAGAAGTATATACAAACTCTTTCTTTCTCATAGCTACCGTAAAATACAGATCACTCTAGGTGACTCCTACATGACGTTACCATTTTTATCTTGCAGCAGCTTTTTCATTACCACATTTTAAACGCCCATAGACATTATGTAACCCTCCTTTGTCACATAATATGCATTGACCTGGAATTATTCTGGAATGCTTAATATTTCTATTATCTATTCACACATTTACAGCTACGAGGAGGATTCGCCGTCGCCGCAATCATTTTCGTCTCTTCCTATGAAATTATAGTCGTTACAAACATAGTAAACCTCGTTTGGTTGACTAGTTCACTAGTTACTAGACGGTCATAACCCCGGATAAAAAGGGAAGGTGGGGCATAGAGCTAGCAACCCTACCCGTAAACGAATCCACTCGCTAACGAAACTTCAAAGGACAAAGAAAATATAAAATATCAATAAACTTATTCCTTGCTGAAATCGGACAGACAGGATGACGCCAGTTGGTGAAAGCCTTCGGGAAGCCAGTCGGCCGATCTGTCTTCGCTTCTCTCGATAAAAGCGAAAGTAAACATGGGGACATGGAATGTCCACACCATGTATGAACAAACCTACCAAGGCTGCCCAGATTGCAAAAGAAATGAGAGGGTATGGCATGGGAGTGCTGGGAATCTTCGAGAGATAAGCAGATGGAATGGAAGTGGACTCTCCAAACTGTCGACTGGAGAGTCAATAATCTACTCCGATATTGTCACCCAGACGACAACCACGAGCACAGCACACTGAGTTTCCGAGTGGCTATCATGATGTCTGCAAGAACATCGAAGGCTCTCATACAGTGGGAACCAATCTCCTCCTGCACGATCAGGATCATGACAGCAAGGTGTATTCAACTCAAAAGGAGGGAAAGTCACAATCATACAA